ATATATATATATATATATGTGTGCGTGTGTGTGAATAATTTCTCAGCCGTTGCATAGCCAGTCGCGCAGTTCTTACGGTTTTGTGTCCACCAATTCCTCCAAAAATTTGTGCGTTGATTGGCGTCCATCGGGCGCGCCTACGGTTGCGCATGTTTGGCACGAACTTGCTTGAGTTCGGGGCAATAGTGCTCTCTTTCCTGGACGATCGCTCGCCAGCAGGTCGGTGACGAATTATTATTGATTAGGGCAAGAGTCTTCCGTTCCATGGAGAAGAGAGGCCATGTACGTATTTCCGTGCCCGCCAATTTGAGAAACAAGCAAGGTCAAGTTGAAACATCGTTCTTCCATCGGTGTGTGGATCTACGACTGTGAAACGGTAGCCTTGGTTGGCCCCCAACCGCACTCCAATTGGAAACCAAAAGCGATGATAAAATTGCACAACTGTTTGTCCCTATCACCATACATCGGGAACATTTACTGCTGAATCGTAACCAAACCCGTAGGTAAGAAACGAGGCCCCAAACGCCATGGGCGTCGTTCTACAGACATCATACCTCTGCGTATCCACGCGTGACAGAAAGAAAGGCGGGAGGCACGGGTATGGTTAAAACGAAATTTAATTGTTCGAAATTCGGCGTGCCTGATACAAGACCCGCTTGGATAAGCCACTCGCATACTTCAGCGAGCGCTTGCGGGAAATGGACGATAGAGATATCACGGTTATTCAATGTTGATGTTGCTGTCTCGGGCCCGCCATGCTTTGTCAGGTGCATCAGGCGTGGGTTCTGAAACCGCCGCCGCAGGGACAACTGGATGGTGTTGGGGCAAGTGTACGACGGCAAGGTCGGGTCGGCCCGACTCTTCATGCTAATCCTCCGATTCCAATAGCAACGATGTTGCCGCATAAGGGATGCATGATTTTTCTAGTTGATTGGCTTCGATTTTATCATCAAAATAGACAAGTGCTATGCGTACAATATTTGAAATCGTAGCTTAGGTGGCGGGCGTTCGACCATGACACACTGTATGCAGAGAAAACGCTTTTTGACAATGATTCACACTGCGATTTTTTTCAGTAATCAGTCTGTGTATACTTAAGGTTTTATGTATGTGTGTATTTGCTATATATATATATATATATATATATATATATAAAAATGAATACCAAATTTTGATTGCACAACATCCCACCAGCCCATCCAGAAATGATGCCTGGACGAATTGTTTCGATCAAAGAAGTGGGCAGACCCATCTTGGAGGTTCTTGTTAGTTCCCCCGAGAAATATCTGGAATCATCTTAACCAATGTCCGCCAACATAATAGTAAAACTTTCGTGGAATCAATCGATTGGTATTCTCGCTGGAACCTCTTGGAGCATTTCGGGTGCTTCTCGGGACCCTCCCAGGGGCCTGGAATCTTTTTGTTGTAAATGGTTAAAAAAAATCCGCTCCATATATTCGTCGTCAACTGAGCAAGGTTCAATAGAAAAATATTCGATGGTTATATCAAATATTGCGATTATCCGTTGAATTTTCCTGAAAAAAAGTCTTAGCATCAATCGAGATCCCCAGTGTCAAGTGCCATCCAACACAACCCATCTCACCCCAACCCCAAACATAACCAGTTCCAACATGAACACACACACACACGGTTCTTCACACCAATTCCCTTAACACAAATATGCTGCACATTGCGCAGTGTGTGGCGTGCAATGAACGACATGCAAAAAACGACTCCGACGAAAACATCCGAGGTGATTCAAACATCCTACTCGATTTGCAATTCTCGGAACGAACAATTACGCCAATATCAACAATGATCGTACCCCCATTATTGCATCCATGCGGGCTTCTTCATGCAATTTGATTTGAATATTCCGCATATCGTATACAAAAAGGATGCCGCCAAAGACCGCAACCGGGAGACCAATGAGAACAAAACAAGTCTTGCAATAAAAAACGAACATTCGGATTGCTGCAAAATTGGTGGATTGAGAATTGCAACTCACACTCTTTCGTATGCGGATCTAACACTGGGTTTCGCACGCACGTCAAACGAAATTGAAGATTCGCAAATCTGAAACATTGACATCAACAAAAAAAATACACACACACACATGTATATATACAGACATACATGCATATATCCGGCTACCTCTGATCTTCTGCATCTGAAAAGACAGAAATACTATGCATAACTCTAAATTTTCCCTGGAACAAAAAATTATTCTCAAAACATCTCAAAATATGTTTGAAAGTTCGAAGAAAACAAAGGGTCGCGAATAGCAACGTCTTCCATGGCTTGATTCTGGACGATCTGCTAAATTTGTAAATTCAATTTTGAAGATCATGCCAAAGAAGAGCAATAATAAACCGCAATTCGAAACACCCACATAAGGAAATCGATATCGAACGCCGCCGAATTTCAAAGAATTCTAATATTTGAAACTTCAATAACATATTGCATCCCGTGACATAGTGGTCGGACAAAGCATTGCAAGAATCCGTATTTCGTGTTCACTACTACCCTTGAAGAAGTAGCATATGCATTCGGCACCAACTTACCATAACACAAATTGGAAACTGCTTTCATGTTGTACGAAACTTTCCATTCAATGCGCAAGGAATATTGACATATTGCGTACAAGGCCACCTGGAATGGCGAATTACCTGATTCCCACGACCAAACCACTTACATGTCGGTTCAACTCTTGCGCACAATGTTTCGGGTAATGAATTATGGGGTATGATATGAACATGCGATGACACAAGTGGGTTTTCCACTATTGGCTGGGCGCGACAGGACTACTGAACGCACACCAAACGAACATCGGTGCTCGCTGTGCTCACTGCAGAAATTACGCAGACATTTCCGCAACAATTGTGCAAATATTGTCGGGAATACTGCACTTCCTCACACAAGTACAAGATGGTCAACCAAATGGTGGGTCCACTATGTTTACAGAGCGCTGGCGGGACGGCTGCGCGACGCACCTGTATGCGACATGCGATCTACATGGACCGATCTCGCAGCGGATATGACACCGCCAAAAATTCAAAATAGCGACATGGCATTGGGAAGCACAGACACGGATGGCAATACAATTCGACCACACCTTTGGAACACGCCACATCTGCAAAAGTATTATGTGATTTACCACCTCTAGGAGTTCGGCAGACTGCGGCAACACTAAGCTAAACACGGGTTCGTTCATGCACAAGTCTTTTCTTTGCAATATGTCCTAAAGCACCACCGAGTTTAACGATACCAAGTGATTTAATGCAACCGTCGTGTAGGTGTCGCGTGTTCGTTTAGAGGACATGACCAACATGGCCATACTCGAATGGGTTAGGAGGGATATCAAATCGGAAGCAATGCGCCGGACAAAAATGTGCGACTTATGTGATCTCGCACGAACTTGCCAATGCCACCTAACGACTAACGGAGGCTAACTGCTAAATCTGGTGGTCCCCGATTCAATGTGGATCGCGAGAATTACCGTTATTCTGCGACGTCGCCGTTGTCAGCCCGATCTTCCAGACGGGCTCTTTACAACGGTTGGGTGCTGAAGTATTCTGGCGGTGGGGGAGCCAAGGCATTCGCCTCATGATCGAACTTGCTCGGGAACATACGAGAGGACTGAATGCCAGATTCGCCGCCGCACGAACTTCAGATTATAACGGGGTTACTTGGGATTTCTTTGCAATCAGTTGTGGCACACGCAGTTTTGCGTGACGAAGTTGATTGAACTTCCCGAGGTGCAGCTCGAACCTACCTCCCCGTGGTCGCCGCCGTCGTCGTCGTCGCCGTCGTTTTGTCGTCGTCGTCTTTGTCGTCGTCGTGTTCTTCGTCGTGTTCGTCGTCTACGTCGCCGCCGTCGCCGTTGTCGTCGTCGTCGTCGTCGTCGTCGCCATCGCCGTGGCCAATGTTTTGTCGTCGTTGTGTTTGTCTTCGTCGTGTGGAGCTGGCGTTGTCGTGGTCGTCGTCACCGTCGTCGTCGTTGTTTTGTCGTTCTCGTTGTCGTCGTGTTCGTCGTCGTTTGCGTGGTCGTGTTCGTCGTCGTTTTGTCGTCATCGTCGTCGTCGTAGTCGTTTTCCGTCGTCTTTGTCGTCGACGTTGTTTTGTCGTCGTCGCCGTCGTTTTGTCTATGCTTTCGTCGCCTTCGTCCTCCACCGCCGTCGTGTTCGTCATCGCCGTCGTCGTCGTCATCGTCGTCGCCATCGTTTTGTCGTCGTTTTCGTCGTCGTCGTCTTCCTCCCCGTCGTCGTCTTCTTTGTCGTCGTCGTTTTCGTCGTCGTCGTCATCCCCATCGTTGTTGTCGTCGTCGTGGTCGTCGCCGTGTTCGTCGTCGTTTTCGTCGCCGCCGTCGCCGTCGTCGCAGTCGTGTTCGTCGCCGTTGTTTTGTCGTCGCCATTGTCGCCGCCGCCGCCGTCGTCGTCGTCGTCGTCGTTTTGTCAATGTTTTCGTCGTCGTCGCTGATGTCGTTTTTGTTTCCTCCGTGGTCCGCCGACGGCCGCGAGCCGCGCGGGCCCGCGCGCGGCCGCGTGCAAGCGCGGCGAGGTCGCAACGCCTCGGCCTGCGTCCGTCTGGAGGAGGAGGAGGAGGATGGGGGGGGGGGGGAGGGGGGGAGGAGGGGGAGGAGGAGGAACGCAGCGCCTCAGGAAGGTCCCCCGCCGCGCGCGCGGGCGCTCGACGGACTACCCCCTAGCGGAAGGAGAGCAGCTGGGAGAAGTCGCCCTCAAGGCCGTGGACGCAGGCCAACTTGCCACCGACGAAGAAGGCGCCACCGCCGAAGAAGACGCTGTGCCGCCAGCCGACCACGGACCGGCAGCGAATTACGACATGGTCGATCATCGCGCCACGTGGCTACAAGAGGAGCCGCCCTGCAGGAGCGGCGCTGCTGGGGTGCGTCGGGCACGAGGTGCCAGGCCCTCCTCGACGCGCCTGATCGCATCTTGCTGGTTGCGGCGCGTGGACTCGTTAGGCGAGAGCCATCGCACCTCGAGCCGAGCTTCTGCGCTGTGCGGACATCTCCCGCAGCGCAGTGGGACCCGCGGCGTCTGCAACAGTAAACATTGTTGCCCATGAACACGTCGCGCCCAAGCGCGGCGAAGGCGTCCCCGACCTCCTCGGCCAGGGCAGCTGGTGGCAACAAGGCTGCGGGGGTCGAGGGCTGTGAGCTCCCCTCGAGCGCCAAGGCCGCGCCCGGAGCCATGCCAGCCCTCTGGTCGTTGCAGAGAACCCAGCCCTCGCCGAAGGCGCGGAAGTACTCGGCGTCGAGAGCACTGACGACCCGCGAAAGGCGACATACACGATGAGAGCCTGTTTGCAGCGACGTTGTGGCCGTGACTCCGCTTGGGAGGGCCCCGCAAGGTGCGCCTGCGGCTGGCCACGAAGATGTCCCGCCGCGCTCTAGCATGCTTGGCGCGACCCTGCTCGAGCTCGGGGCACCGGCGCTCTCTTTCCTGGACGAGCGCCAGCAGGTCGGTGACGCAGTAGTGGTGATCAGGGAAAGCGTCGAGCCCCTCCCTGATCGCGTACCTCTCACTCAGCGCGGCCGACAGTCTGCGCCAAGTGCGGAAGGGGCCCGAACCGCGCCCTAACTGGGAGCCAAGAGTGAGGATCAAGCTGCACAACTGCTTGTCCACACCTCCGCACCTCGGGAACACCTGAGTCGTAACCAGACCCGTCGGTGTAAGAAACGGGGCCCCAAACGCCATGGGCGTCGCCCCAAAGGCAGGCATCACGCCTCCGCGTATCTACGCGTGGTAGAAAGGCGGGAGACACAGGTATGCCAAGAACGAAGTTGGACTGCTCGAAGTTCGGCGTGCCTAATCCAAGACTCGCTTGGATAAGTTAGTCGCGCACCTCAGCCAGCGCTTGGGGGAGGTGGAAGATATCGCGGTCATTCAGCGTTGGGTGCAAGTGTAGGGCGGCAGGGTCGGGTCGGCCCGACTCTCGAAGTGGTCGCGAACCTGCTGGCGTAGGTCGCCGAAGCCCTGCTGTGTTTCAAAAGTCATTATTGGGGGCAAATGGGTCCCTGGGGTACCGCGCGTGTTCTGCGCTTGTCAAAGGCCTTGGGCATGGTCCGTCGGCTCCCGCGTCAGCAGCGCGGGGCATTCCAAGCGAACATGGTCCCGAAATTCATCGGGCCCAAGGGCCTTCCCGCAAGCCTGACACGGGCGCGTGGGCATGTCGAGCTTTCTGTCCCTGCGGGTCGGCATGGTCCAGCGTGGCATGATAGATGGGGTCGTACTCCTCCGAAGGGTGAGTGAGGACGTATGCCGTGACGCCCACGTGGTGTTTGTCACTTCGCCCGTTAAGCACCGCGGCCAAGTTGCGCATCTCGCGTAGGGGCGCGTCCGCCAACCCCGACACTCCAGCGCCGTGCCCTGCGGACGGCATGGGCCCAGTCCGCCACAGGGTGGAGGCCTTACGCCCCTACCGCGCGACGCAGCATGAGGAGTCGGTGCTTGCGCTCCCGCACGGCCTTCAGGCGCTTCCTCTCAACCTTCCTCAGCACTCGAGGGCCATGCAGCTCATGGCCAAGGTTGCGCATATGTCGGGCCTGGGACACCGCCCGAGGCATCCGCCGCTGGACCCTGTGCACCACAAGGCGGACCCGCGCTGACCCAGCCACCGCCGCGGACTTAGCAGGTTGGAGAATAAGCCCGAGGTCCCTGGCCTCTGCAGTGAGCGCCATCGTAGTGCGCAGCAGCAGCTTGACATCACCGAGGTCGGGGGGAACCATCTGCAGACCGATGTCGTCCACCAGCGAACGGGCGCAACCCTGCTGGCCCGCTGGAGGACACGGTACGTCAGCAAGTGGATGAGGTAGGTGACATGCGGCAGGTCGGGGGAGGAGGAGGAGGAGGAGGAGGAGGAGGAGGAGGAGGAGGAGGAGGAGGAGGAGAAGGAGGAGGGCACGGATGTCTTTCGCCGGGGTTGGCTTTCGCCGGGCTTCGTTTCGCCGGGCTTCGTTCCGCCGGGCTTCGTTTCGCCGGGGTTGGCTTTCGCCGGGGTTGGCTTTCGCCGGGATTGGCTTTCGCCGGGGCTTGGCTTTTGCCGGGGTTGGCTTTCGCCGGGTTGGCTTTCGCCGGGTTGGCTTTTGCCGGGGTTGGCTTTCGCCCGGGTTGGCTTTCGCCGGGGTTGGCTTTCGCCGGGGTTGGCTTTCGCCGGGGCCGGGCGGGGAGCAGGCGGGGCAGGCTCAGGGGCAGGCGACGAATGGGAAATAGGATATCGATGTCCCATGTCCCCTCTTAACAATTTCTTGTGTCGGGCCGCTTCCAAAAGCGGCTGGCGATCTTGGTGGCGGTCGCAGCTGGTGGGGGCGTTGGCCCGAGACTTCCAACGCCCGGGAAAAACAAACGGTAAGTTACCTAACAACGAAAACTGATAGGTTCTAGTAGTGTCAAAAAAAAACACCTTGACGCCCCAGGGGGCCTGGGCGGGATCCGGACAAAACCGGACAAAACCGGCAGCCACAGGAATCTTTTGGGATTCTTGGGAATCCTTAGGAATCCATTCCCAAAACACAACTCCCAGGCCACATTTTGAATCCCCGGAACCAACCGTACGCCACTTCGTGCCCTTCGTGCTCCCAGAACACCATTCCCAGGCCACATTTTGAATGCCCGGAGCCAACTGGAGGCCACTTCGTGTTCTTCGTGTTCCCAGAACGCCACTCCCAGGCCACATTTTGAATGCCCGGACCCAACTGTGGGCGACTTCGTGTTCTTCGTGCTCCCAGAACACCACTCCCAGGCCACATTTTGAATGCCCGGAGCCAACTGTAAGCCACTTCGTGTTCTTCGTGTTCCCAGAACACAATTCCCAGGCAACATTTTGAATGCCCGGAGCCAACTGTAAGCCACTTCGTGTTCATCGTGTTCCCAGAGTACATTCTTGTATCATATTTCGATTGCCCGGAGCCAACTGTGAGGCTGAGGCTGAGGCAGGCTGAGGCTGAGGCAGGCTGAGACTGAGGCTGAGGCAGGCTGAGGCTGAGGCTGAGGCTGATGCAGGCTGAGGCTGAGGCAGGCTGAGGCTGAGGCTGAGGCTGAGGCCGAGGCAGGGTGAGGCTGAGGCCGAGGCAAGCCGAGGCAGGCTGAGGCTGAGGCTGAAGCTGAGGCAGGCTGAGGCTGAGGCTGAGGCTGAGGCTGAGGCAAGCTGCGGCTGAGGCTGAGGCTGCGGCTGAGGCAGGCTGAGGCTGAGGCTGATGCAGGCTGAGGCTGGGGGGCTGACGCTGAGGCTGAGGCTGAGGCTGAAGCTGAGGCAGGCTGAGGCTGAGGCTGTGGTTGAGGCCAGCTGCGGCTGAGGCAGGCTGAGGCTGAGGCTGATGCAGGCTGAGGCTGGGGGGCTGACGCTGAGGCTGAGGCAGGCTGAGGCTAAGGCTGAGGCAGGCTGAGGCTGAGGCAGGCTGAGGCTGAGGCTGAGGCCGAAGCAAGCCGAGGCAGGCTGAGGCTGCGACTGCGAGAACAGCAGAATACTACAACTGGATTCTCACCTGAATCGTAAGGGGAATGCTTCCAGATATGCTTTGCCGGGATATTTGCCAGGATATTTTTTTGGTTGCTTTGCCAAATATGCTGCTAGGTTGCTTTGCCGGGATATTTTTTTGGGCCGGGGTCGGCCTCAGGGAGGCCATGACGTCCTTACCTAGGACGCACCAGGATAAAAATATGTCTTTGGGAGCGACTGCGGACCCCCGGGAACCGCCGGCGTAGACAAATCCGGGGGTCGGAGGTCAGGGCCAGAAGTCGCCGTGCGCGGCGTAGGTGAGGGGGCGCCAATGGGGGAGCACCCAAGGAGGGATGAGGAGTACCCTGATGGAGGAGGGGAGCGCCAATGGGGGACACACCAACGGGGAAGGGGAACGCCAAGGGGGGGTGGGAAGGGAAACGGCAACGGGGGAGGAGGAGCTCCCCATTGGGGGGGCGGGGGCGCAGCGAGGAAGGAAGAGGCTCGAGGCCCCTGTTGCAGGGCGGGCAGCGGGCAGCGCACGGGCGGGCAGCGGGCAGCGGCGAGCACAGAAACCCGCCGGGCGGACCCCAAATGGAGGGTCGGGCGCGGGCGGGCGGACCCTAACGGGCGGGACGGGTCGGGCGCGGTCGGGCGGACCCTAACGGGCGGGTCGGGTCGGGCGGGGGAGACACTAAAGTGTGGGGCGCGCTCCAGTGAGCACGTGTGAACCCCAACTGGCGGGTCGGGTCGGGTCGGGCGGACCCTGACGGGCGGGGCGGATCGGGTCGGGTCGAGCAAACCCTAACGGGCGGGTCGGGTCGGACAAGCGGGACACTAAAGTGTGGAGGTGCGCTCGAGCGAGCACGCGTGAACCCTAATGGGCGGGTCAGGTCGGGTCGGCCGGATCCTAACGGGCGGGGCGGATCGGGTCGGGTCAAGCAAACCCAAACGGGCGGGTCGGGTCGGGCGGGCGGGACAATAAAGTGTGGAGGCGCGCTCGAGTGAGCACGCGTGGACCCTCGCGGGCGGGTCGGTTCGGGCGGGCGGATCCTGATGGGAAGGGCGGGTGGTCGGGTCGGGCGGACCCTGACGGGCGGGTCGGGTCGGGCGGGCGGGACACCAAAAACTGCGGGGAGCGCTCGAGTGAGCACGCGTGAGCCCTAGCGTGCGGGTCCGATCGGGCGGGCGGACCCTGACGGGCGGGACGGGTCGGGCGGACCCTAACACGCGGGTCTGGTCGGGCGGGCGGGACACTAAAGTGTGGGGCGCGCTCCAGTGAGCACGCGTGAACCCCAACGGGCGGGTCGGGTCGGGTCGGGCGGACCCTAACGGGCGGGGCGGATCGGGTCGGGCCGAGCAAACCCAAACGGGCGGGTTGGGTCGGGCAGGCGGGACACTAAAGTGTGGAGGTGCGCTCGAGCGAGCAAGCGTGAACCCTAATGGGCGGGTCGGGTCGGGCGGGCGGACCCTGACGGGCGGGGGATGGGTCGGGTCGGGTCGGGCGGACCCTAACGGGCGGGTCGGGTCGGGCGGGCGGACCCTAACGGGCGGGTCGGGTCGGGCGGGCGGGACACTAAAGGTGCGGGGCGCGCTCAGTGAGCACGCGTGAACCCTAACGGGCGGGTCGGGTCGGGCGGGCGGACCCTAAAGTGTGGAGGCGCGCTCCAGTGAGCACGCGTGTAACGGGTCGGGTGGGGCGGGCGGGACGCAGGGCGGGCGGACCCTCGGGCGGGTCGGGTCGGGCGGGCGGGACACTAGAATGCGGGGCGCGCTCGAGTGAGCACGCGTGAACCCTAACGGGCGGGGTCGGGTCGGGTCGGGCGGACCCTAATGGGCGGAGCGGATCGTGTCGGGTCGAGCAAACCCCAACGGCCGGGTCGGGTCGGGCAGACGGGACACTAAAGTGTGGAGGTGCGCTCGAGTGAGCACGCGTGAACCCTAACGGGCGGGTCGGGTCGGGCGGGCGGACCCTGACCGGCGGGGTCGGGTCGGGACGGGCGGACCCTAACGGGCGGGGCGGGTTCGGGTCGGGCGGACCCTAACGGGCGGGTCGGGTCGGGCAGGCGGGACACTAAAGTGTGGATGCGCGCTCGAGTGAGCACGAGTGAACCCTAACGGGCGGGTCGGGTGGGGCAGGCGGACCCTAACGGGCGGGACGGGTCGGGCGCGGTCGGGCGGACCCTAACTGACTACCTACCAGACCACCCCAACCCAACCCGAAGACCCGAATTTGAACCGAATTTCGGGTTGGGGGGGTACGGGCTCCATGTGATTTTTCAACGTTCCCCGACCCCCCCCACTGGAAATGGAGGGCAAATTGAGGCCTTCGGGTTGGATTGGGGTGGTTTGGTAGGTGGTGACTAACGGGCGGGTCGGGTCGGGCGGGCGGGACACTGAAGTGTGGGGCGCGCTCGAGTAAGCACGCGTGAACCCTAACGGGCAGGTCGGGTCGGGTCGGGCGGACCCTAACGGGCGGGGCGGATCGGGTCGGGTCGAGCAAACCCTAACGGCCGGGTCGGGTCGGGCAGGCGGGACACTAAAGTGTTGAGGCACGCTCGAGTGAGCACACGTGAACCCTAACGGGCGGGTCGGGTCGGGCGGGCGGACCCTAATGGGCGGGAAGGGTCGGGCCAGGCCAGTCGGACCCGAACGGGCGGGTCCTAACGGGCGGGCGGTTGGGCGCGCCGGAACGGGCACGCGCGAACTTCAACGGGCGGGTCGGGTCGGGTCGGGTCAGGTGGGCGGGACACCAAAGTGTGGGGGCGCGCTCGAGTGCGCACACGTGAACCCTAGCGTGCGGGTCCGATCGGGCGGGCGGACCCTAACGAGCGGGGCGGGGCGGGCGGACCCTAACGGGCGGGTTGGGTCGGGCTCCAGCCAACCGGCCGCGGGCAAGAGAAGCCAGAGGAAGAGGGTCGAGGAGCAGCAGCAGCAGCAAAAGAACAGGAGCGGGAAGAGAAGAAGAGGAAGAGGAGGGCGAAAACGAGCCCAGGCGTAAACGAGCCCAGGCGACAGCCAACCCGGGCGAAAACCAACCGGGCGAAAGCCAACCCGGGCAAAACCAACCGGGCGAAAGCCAATCGGGCGAAAACCAACCAAGGCGAAAGCCAACCCGGGCGAAAGCCAACCGGGCGAAAGCCAACCGGGGCGAAAGCCAACCAGGGCGAAAACAAACCCGGGCGAAAGCCAACCCGGGCGAAAACCAATCCGGGCGAAAGCCGACCCGGGCGAAAGCCAACCGGGCGAAAGCCAACCAGGGCGAAAGCCAACCCGGGCGAAAACCAACCCGGGCGAAAGCCAACCCGGGCAACTGGGCGAAAGCAAACCCCGGCGAAACGAATTGGGCGAAGCGCACCGGGCGAAAATCAACCCGGGCGAAAAACATCTACGCCGAGGATGAGGGGTAGAGGAGGAGTGGCAACGCCCCGTGGGGCCTTGGCCATTGCACGCCGCGAGCCACGCTGGGACTAAGCATGGTCCCCACTGTCTATTCCCAGGGTGTAGAAAAGCGGGGTGGTCATCTTCTCGCGATGGCAGTGGCACCGGGAGGGGGGAAGATGGAAGAATCGGCGGGCCAGGCTGGCCAGCCGGAGTGGCGGCGCTGCTCAGGGCCTTGGTCAAAGCGCACGCCAGAGCCGCGCCATTAAGCACAGCCCGAAGCACCGAGCGCACCAACGGCGTACCTGAGACGCGCGAGACGTCCTTCCGTCATTTTGGACGGCGTATTCAGAGATGGGCAATCGACGAAACCTACCAGCCCTCTGGGCGAAGGTGGTCTAGGGAGGCTCCTCTTCCAACCCCCTTCTTCCCCTTCGGGGAGGGGTTCACCCCTCCCCTTACCCCATCCCCTGGACCTGGACGGAGGGTTTCGATGGTAGGTGGAGCGTCCAGGATGGCCCAAGACGGCTCCAAGAGGGCTTCGGAGAGCCCAAGATGACCTCCACTCCTCCTGCTCCTCCTCGTCCTCCGCTCCTCCTGCTCCTCCTGCTCCTCCTGCTCCTCTTCCTCCTTGTCCTCCCTCAGAAGCATCCGGAAGCTTCTGGAGGCCACCGGGGGCCCTAAAAGGACCTAAAACGCTCAAGAACCGCGATTCACGATCCTCTTCGTTCCTCCCCGTCCCCCTTCGTCAGGGATGGGAGATTCGGGAGGAAGAGGTCGGGGGGGCACCGATAACGCTGGTCTCTCCTCCCAAGGTGCGCTCTGGCCAGAATTTCGAGGATCATGCAGCCGTGGCGACTAGAGCTCTCCAGGACGAGCAGCGGCATCTGTGTCCCTTTACTCCTCCGAGAGAAGAGGGAGGGCAGGGAGAGTAGGGAAGACTCGCAAGGCAGCTCGCCGCTGAGCATCGAGTGGACGTGCGTCCAGCCAGACCGCCACGGCGGAGGCCGTCGAAGCGCGGAGTCGGTCACGAGGCGAGCACCTCGCGCGAGCGCGCAGGCGCGCGCCCGGGGGCGGCCGTCGGCCATCGCCAAAGGCCACTGCTCCCTCTCTCTCTCATTCTCTGAGCAGAAACGAAGGCGGTTATTCCTGGTAAGGGCTTAGGCCCAGGGTTTTCTTTTCGTGTGCGGGCCTTTGGTCCTGTGCCCGACGGGTGTCGAACAAGTGAGGTCGGAAAGGGGTCTCCAGCATGCGTCTCGCCGCGCATTTGCTTGCTGGCGACAACGGGGCCCCCCAGAGGGGGTATCCAACTCACAAGCGTCGTAATTTTTCCCCCGCCAGACAATATGTCCGCGGAGGAGGGCGCGCACGGTACACATATTTTCACGCGTCCACGGGGGCGTCGGGTCTCCAACACATGTTTTCGCCTGAGACATCCTCACAGTGGAGATGTGAGAGGATTTTGTAAAGTTGCTTTTCACAAGTGAAGCATTCGCCTGAGACATCCCCAAGAAATGAAATGCTGGATATCACACGTCGGACATCCAAAATGGTGTGTGTGTGTGTGTGTGTGTGGGGAATGTTTCGCCCAGGACATCCCCGCAAACTGGAGATGTCGGAGTTGTTTTTCGACAATGGTACTCAAAATGAAGCTTTCGCCTGAGACATCCTCCGAACAGTGAGATGTTGGAGATCGGGCGTCGGATATCCAACATGGTGCGGGAAGGTCGTCTCAGGCATCCTCACACGATGGGAATGTCGGAGTTGTTTTACGACGTGGACTCTCAACACTGATGGTTTTCGCCTGAGACATTGAACAAACAAAGAGATGCTGGAGGTCGGGAGTTGGATATCCAACACAGATAAATGTGTGTATGTGTATGTGTGTGCGTGTGTATGTATAAGGCGTTTCGCCTCATAACATGTATATGTAGGAAGAATTGTTATACGACGCTGGCTATCCCAAACTAAGCATGGTATGCTGGAGGTCGGGCATCAAATGTGCAACGTGGTGCGGGGGGCGCTTCGCATGAAACATCGTCCCACAATGGGAATACCGGAATTGTTTTACGACGCTTGCTTTCAAACATGAGGCTTTCGCGTGATGAATTCTCGGTACCATGAGGTCTTGAGCTCGTGGGTTGGATATCGAACTTGGTGTGGCGGGACGTTTCGCTGCAGACATCCTCAGAAAAACAAAATGGTCAGTCGCCTCCCGACCTCGGCGACCTCGGCGTACCTTCAACAAGAGCCTGGCTCTCATCTGATATTTCCTCACAAGAGGAGGCGTCGCCAGGTAAGTCGGACAACGCATTATTTGCCTTACTATCCTTAACTCATGGGTACGCGGGTCCCTCGAGTTCCTTGGTTCCGGCCCTCGGGCGAGCATTTTCGGGCCCAGGGGCCATCCAAGCCCACCAGCCCTCTGGGAGTAGGTGCTCTTGGGCGGTTTCGCTTCCAACCCCCTTCTTCCCCTTCGGGCAGGGGCTTATCATTGTTCCCTACTGATATACACCCCCACCCCCAGGCGACCGGCAGCCAACCAGGAACAATGAGGACCCCATGAGGACCCCCCCAACCATCCTTGTCAAAAAACAATACGAACACACACACACACACTCTGCCTCCAAATTCTGAGGATGCGCAACCAACCCGATGCGGCCCCCCCGCCACCATCCCTATTACACTACAATGCACAATACACTTTGGGGCAAAGTCTGGAGACATGTTCGTGAGGCCCGCGAACACTTTGTATTGCTTTTTGACAGGGACGGCGGGGGTGTCAGCACATTGCCTGCTGGGCGCAGGGCAACCATACCGGACAATGAGCAAGACATACAAAACGCACCTCGCGGCTAAATCTGTCATGCGCGGCCACCACGCGATCACTGTCAAGTGGTTTTTGACAGGGACGGTGGGGGTGGTGGCGTATGGCCTGCTGCGGCATTGGTTTTCGACAAGGACGGTAGAGGCCGACATGCTTCCCGATGTGTGCTGTCACGTGCGCAGGCACACCAGCCCCGAACGTGCCCCGAACGTGGCGCAGCTGGCGCACCAGGCGTGCCTGGCACGCTCGGGCCCCTGGGTTGTCTGGCGCGCGCGGCGCGCCTGGCACGCGTGGCGCCCCTCGCTCCAGCGTCGCGCACATGGGCTAGGTTT